TTTTGGAGAATTCTTTTTAAGTTTGTAAAGGTGGATATAAAGCTTTTTTTGACCTTTTATCATCAACATAAGTGACAAGGTATGGTTATTTCATCGTAATATCAAGACTACTTATTCTTGTGATAAGTTGAACTACTACAAGGTTAATCTTTTTTTTATTTGGAAATAATTCAATTCAATTGCTTATCAATTATATCTACTAGAGTCAATAAAGATTCATCTTGTCTTTCATGTATGTCTTCTTAAACCATACAAAACTATGAACATACTAAGAAGAAGTCAAGCCCCACCTTCTCTTATAGAAGTAGACAATAGTTAAGTATTTAAAGTAGAAGAAGTTCTAGATTCAAAGTACTGCTAGAATAGGTTAGAATATTTTATCCATTGGCCTGAATATGATATTAGTGAATGCACATGGAAGCCAATAAAAAATCTTGTAAATGCACCAAAGAAGGTAGAGGCTTTTTATTAACAACAACCATTAAAATCAAGATAAAGACCTTCTTTATAAAAAAAAAAAAAATAAGATTTAGACAAAAAAATATTCTACTTTCTATCCTTATTATAGCTTCTTTGTATTTGTGATACTAAGAAGATAAAAAATCAACAACCAATGGATTCAACTCAAGAGCCTTCATTTATTGACCTATTCAACAAGACATTGCGATTGTCACAACCTTCAAGTCAATACAATTGAGATGAAGATCTTCAAGAATGACATGTTTTTTTCTAAAATAGATGGTAAATTACAATACATTTGATATCACAACCTTGGAAGGGACTCCTAATGTTTGGTGATTTTATTAGAGGTAGGAACAACTTTTGATAGTATTAGAAATATTTTATTTGAAGGAAATTATGAAGGCCTCAACAACAATCTGTCACGGCCATAATCATGTAAGCTAATAATTACATATAGAAATAGGTAGAAGTAAGTAAAAGTAGATAAAAGTAAGTTAATTCTATAATATTTAATATAGAAGCTTCTTAGAAACTTCCTAGATGCTGCTTTGACTTCATAGGTGTCTTTAATTGACTTTTTGGATTAGAAACGTGGTCAACAAGTTGGCCATGTGCCACACATGTTGTTAGCTTGAAGATCAAGCTAACTATGTGGTCCACTTGTAGAAAAAATTGCCTTGTAAGTCAAGGCATGTGTCCTACAAAGTCAACACATATTGGAGGTCCTATAGAACGTCGCCACGTAGCCCCTAGTTAGATAGTATATATAGAGGCAAGAGTGAAGCTCTCTTCACTCTTGTCAACTCCTTTCTTGCTTCTAGTCTAGTTTCAAGGGTCTCTAGTTTTCTTGTCTTTTGGCAATAGCCATTCCAGTTTCTCTTTCAATATATATACTTGTTTATATATATATTTTATTACCTCTCTTTGAGTGAAGGCTCACTTATCTGAATTATTTTTTTATCGAGTTCTTGTCCTTGAGACAATCAAATAATTGGGTGGTCTTTTTGCCCTAGTATAGGACACTATCAATGGTTGAGAGACCCTATCAACCATCTTCAAAGAAAACAAAGATCAGAATATGTGACAAATAAAATTCGTCGCATTTTGGATTTCTTCAACATATGATGATCACTCTTCATGGAACTTGCCCTTAGAAGGAAAGGTAATGTCACTGATATACACAAGTAAATCAATTATTACCTATATGATTACATAAAAATAGATAAAAATAGATTAATTCCATAATATCTTCTATAAAAGCTTTCTAGAAGTTTTATAAATGCTGTTTTGATTTTATCAATGTCTATAATTGATTTTTTAGGTTAGAAACATGGTCAACAAGTTAGCCATGTGCCACATATATTGATAGCTTTAAGAAGAAGCTAATTATGTGGTGCATGCAAAGAAAACTTATCTTGTAAGCTAAGGCATTTGTCTTGCAAAGTCAACACATATTAGAGGTCATATAGAATATTACCTCATAGCTTTTAGTTAGATAATAAATATAGAGGCAAGAGGGAAGCCTTCTTCACTTTTATCAACTCCTTTCTTGTTTCTAGTTTAGATTCAAGAATCTCTAGTTTCCTTGTCTTTTGGCAATAGCCATTCTAGTTTCCTTTTAATATACATACTACTTTATTTCTATTTTATCAATTTTCTTTTAATACAATTTTTTTAGATTTATGCATCTTTTTCCAATTCATATCCTTGATAATAGGTAGGAGGATAAGAATAAGGCCTTGAGATATCTCTAAAACATCCTTTAACTTTAAATGCAAATCTTGGTGAGGCTCAAATCGTTGATCTACAAATAAATTATCTTTGAGATAAAAGTTTTTAATTAATTTTCAATTATTTACTTTCTATTTTTAAATATTTATAATTAATTAATATCAATTAGATTTATATATTTTATAAGAAATTATTATTATTATTATTATTGTTATTATTATTTTATACTTTGTTTATTTGATAAAAATCTAATGCACGATTGTGACTATATTTTAGAATAAGTAATTGCTTGATTATATTCATTTCACTTACTTTGTGTTTTTTTTTTTTTCTTATTATTTACTTTTTTCACTTTACACCACTAATTATAAGCAACTTTTAATTGAAACCATCATATAATATGGAATGAAAGATTTTTTTTTTTTATCAAATTTAACTTTATAACTTAATAAAATAAGTATTAATAGTTTATAATAATTAATAAAAAATAAGTTTTAAAATTTTATATAATATTTAGAAGAAAATTTGAAAATTATAAGAATTATAAAAATTCAAGTGATGTCACTTATTAAAACTAAAATTAAAATGATGCATAGAAAATACACTCTAAAAGGCTAGTATTATGCTAATAAAAATTTAAAAGATATATAGAAAACATACTTTAAAAGGCCAATATTGTGTTATATAAAAATAAATCCTAATTATATCTTATGACATTCAAATCAACTTAGTAAAATTTTATTATTTTATTTTTTTAATATATATAGTATTAAAAATAAAATCAAATATCATTTCAAAAAAAATCACCTTAATCTAACTATCCAAGTATTCAAATTTATATAAATCCTCATTAACTTTGAAAATCCAAATTTTGAGACCTTAATCTGCTTGAATTTTAATAAATTTTAATCTAATTATTTGATTAATCTTTCATTAACAACATAGATATAATTCAATTATATTTATAAGCATAGTACTATTTATTTGTCAATTTGCCACAAAATTCACAAAGTGTTTTAAATTATTAATTCTTTTGTATTCCACAAAACAACAAAGTCACTTAATTCACCCTTAACTTTGTAAAGTTTTGACAAAGTTATTATTTACTTAAATCACTTAAATTTAATCCTCCAACAAATCTTATTAAGTTAACTTTGCAACCTTGCTTTCTTATCAATAAAAGAAAATTCAAACTTGCCAATCTTCATACTTCTAGATAGTTGTTGCTAAAAGCTATTCTTCACTATCTCCTAAAGATTCCTATGATATTATTTTTTCTAATCTACTTGGTTTTGTCTTCCAATAGAAGTTTTTTTCACAAAAAGATACTATTAACACTAAATATTTTACTACCTCTCTATCTTTTACCTATGTTTTTAAAAATACATTTTTAATATTTTTTAAATTGAGATTTTTTATAATATAATCTTCTTTTATTTCTTCTTCTTCTTCTTCTTCTTCTTCTTCATTTTTTCTTTACCGAATAGCCATGTTACAAAACAGCAATGCTACTGATCATACAGTATGTCAACAATTTGACATCAATACTATCTTCTCAAACATTGATTTACATATAGAAACTAACATGCAACAACCACAAGGATTTAAACAAGCATAGTTAATATATAAAATAGAGCAGCTAGTCTTTTACTTTGTGTGATCCCATTAGCATAAGGATGAGTAGCTTGTTATAGTTCATTTTGAAGATGGTATTGTAAAGTGATTCAAGTGCAATGGCATAGTTGTAGTAGTAGTCACACTTTGTATTACTATTGTGTGTAATCAGTGTGTATGTTGCACTTCAATAAATTGATGATTGTAGGAGAGACGACTTAATTGGAATGAGTTATTGCTGCAGAGTTTATGTGATTCTAGATCTTGGCCCAAGAGAGAAATAGCAAAGGAGAGAGGATGAGCACCAAGGGCAGGGGCAGGATGCAGAACAGAAGTGGGTGCCCCACCTGAAGCACGAATAATACATGCCAGACTTACACAAACACTGATGTAGGCCATGGCAGTGTACCTTCATCAATCTGAATTTGTCTTAATCTCAAGTATATTTTGTTTTTGGATCAGCTGGCTGTTGGGACTCCATTAACACAAGTTGATACACAGCACCTCATGCAGTTGCTAACACTGTAACTCCCTCCCCCAGTTGGTTCAACAGGACAAAATACTTGTATTAATAATATTAATGTCATTGTTTATGTATTCACAATGAAAAAAATATGTTTGGCTTTACAAGATGTGTTAACATGTTGCTAAGGGTGCAGAGATGCCAACTGCCACCTATACAAAGTCACTGTTTCTGCTTAGTGGCCACAAATTATTACACATATTGACATGAATCCATCAGTTTTAAATTAGAAACCTTCTACCCATGGCAAAATGTTGCCCTTCTTTACTATTTTGTGTCCATATTCCTACCACTTCTCCAATTCATTTCTGTAAATTTTAACTTCTCAAAATAATGGAGCACAAAAGAGACTGAAGGATTTAGTTTTAATTAATGAAACTTTTCGGATGCCTTGGAGATTTATTTGAAAGGCAATAATTGAAATTTATTATACATAAAATCTAAAGCATAAGAAAATGCCCCTAATGCTGCTACATGCATTGTAGGTATGAAGATCACAGCTCCAAGATGTCGAATATATAGCTAAGTGGAAGTAAGAGTTTGGAGGGATTCAGAGGAGAGGATGAATGGTTTCAGATATTTGTCCATCCGTCAGCACAAGAAAGTCGTACTTCTTCATCCATCCATTCATGCCATGCTCCCAGCCCGCGTGCCTTGCCTTGCCAGTAAGTTGTGTGCGCTGAACTGCGGTGGCTGCGTGCGTGCGTGCGTGCGTGCGTGCGTGCTTACTTACTTACTCCCCTGCCCTGCCCTTCCCTGCCCTTCCATCCTTGATTACTTGATTACTTGACTATTTGATATGCGTCACAGTGGAAGGCACCGTGTCGGGTTTCCTCTGTGGCTGTGAGTAAGTTTCGTGCAGTGGCTATAGGCGAATAATGTGATGCTGCTGTGAGCGCGTTGCCTGGCACTGTGCGTGGGTGATGAGGGGTACAGTAGAAGCCGCTGTGAAGGCTATCATGGCCGCTATCGAATCCGAAGGTTCAGGTATGTACATCCTCTTCCTTCCTACATCAGTCATATTCTTCCCTCTGTTGTTGTCAGCTGCTCTTTCACGAAAATTTCCTGTTTCGGCCAAATTGGTATAGAGATTGGTTCGAATCATGCCACTAATAATCCTTGGTGCTGGTTGTAGAAATTTTCCTTGTAGCTCTATGCATTGCGTTATTATTTTTAGGGCTTGTTTTACCGAAGATTTCCTACTGTGTGAAAACAACGAATACCCTATTTCCCAGGTTGATGTCTGCTTTTCACACGAGGGTAGAGGTAGCTGTGCGCAATCGTATAAACTTGGTCTCACTGACTGTGTTTTTCATCTTGGAAATATGGAGGAGCAGTGACCGATGAGCAGTTATCAGCGTAAGAGGCATCCATTTCTTCCATTCTCATAGTTGTTCTGCGACAAGTGTTTTTTTGCTTTGGCCAAAGTTGTTTGTGAAACCCAATTCTCTTTTATCGTGTGTGGCATTGATGGCTGGTGGCTCTGTTCTCGCGTTGCAGGTTGTATTTCATTTTTAACAAGAATTTAGAGCGAGCATTACGCATACTGGACCAAGGAGGTGTGCAACATGTTGTTTCTCATCCCAGTCAGCGTTCCGTCTTTCAGGTTTGTGCTATCAGGTCTTTTAGGTTTGGTTGACTCCAATGAATTAAGAGGCTTATAAGGTGAAGAAACTTCTCTTTAAATAGGTTCCCTGTTGCTTTTACTTTTCTCAGATGTCCAAGCAACACTCAAGGAATTTAATCCCCTTGTGCAATTTTGGGAGGTGGTGCTGATTATTGACATGCTTTTGTTTACACACTATCGTAATTTCTCACTAATATGCCACCTTGTATGAGTGGTGATAGTCACAGTATTGACATTTTTGTCCAGGTGATCGCAGAATCCAAGAGCGGCTCCAACAGCTATTTGTGCTTCCCAGACCATTTCTGTTCCTGTCAATCTTTCTTCTTCGACGTGGTTTCCAGAAGCGACCAATTTTGTGTAAGCCGTTTCTCTGAAGACACCCATCGTCTGTTGTTCTATCAATTATTAGAGTAGTAGAATACATCTGTTTTACGTTTATCATTCATGTTTATCACTTGATCCTTACCCAGTTGTGCTGTACATACATTTTTTGTGGTGTGGAGTGCAGTGCAAACATCAGTTGGCAGCCATGCTTGCTTCTGCTCTGCGTGGATGCAAAAATGTGACTGTTTCTGATGCTGAGCTTGCACATCTTCTTCTTCAATGTTAGTAAACTGAGTGCGAAGGAGCTGAAACAACGTCGTAACTCAAAATAGGACGATCTACTCCTTAGAACTTTATGTTCTGAGTGAATTTTACTTGGTTTCAAATCAAACCACTCCAAAATCCCCTGTAGTGGATGCCTTAGGCCAGGTAACTAGAGTACATTCGGCAGGTCTTTGATTTTTCTAGAAATGGAAAATATCTAAGTGTCAGTGTTATCCAAGAAATTCCTGGTGCTATTTTTCACCAACTATGAATCTCACAATAGTTGGTCACCATTGTACTGCGATTCAACAAGACATCCCGTGCAATTTCATCGCTGGGATGTCCCTGTGGATGGACGTGTGTTCCCACACAGCATGCAATTGCTCAGGAAATGAGAGTGAATACGAGTAATCGACTGTTACTTAATATGAGGTACCTCCAGGAAGTGCCGCTCTGTTAAACAGTATGTTGTTTCTTGGGATTCCAATACGCACTACTAATGAACATCGGCTCTCAAGCCACAAGCTCACCCCAACTTGTTACAAGCTCATGTATCTTTAATTGCTATGCACATCCAAGAAAAATGAAGGTCTCTAATTGGTTAGTTGGTTGTTATGTAGAGTCTTACATCTGCAACAACTAGAGGTGGAGAATAGGAGTTTGTAGGAATAAATGGATTTGGAAGTCGTTGAGGAGCTCTTTGAACTGTACATGTATTTATTTTTTTAGTTTGGTGGGAGAAGACTCAATATGAAAGAAAAGGAGAGAGTGAAAAAGAAAGAAGTGAACAAAGAAGAGAAGAAAGAAAGAAGTGGAGGGTGAGAAAGATTCTAAGAGAGATGTACAATTTGTGAGTTTAGGATTCCAAAAAAGAACAACATCAATGTTTATAGTTTAAACCATGAACAAGAGAAACAGAGAATAAATTTTGAAATTTTGGAATTTGTCATGAAGAATAAAAAATTGTATATGTAAAGACAATTAGATCTTTTGCAACTTTTAGCCCTTAGTTATCAAAACTCTGAACAATTTGAATAACTTATGTCAAATTCATCTTCCATGTTCATGCCATCATTAGAAGGATTGGAAAATTAGGCTATTTTTGTTGAAGATCAGCAAGTACTTGTTTAATTACAACCACATAGAGATTAAGCATAATATGGTGTTAATAGTCAAAAGGCAGCAAAGAGTTAAAAGAAGTTACTATGGTGGCACTTAGAATTTAGTTGAATGAAATAGAAATGGATGTAATATCAAAAGGATAGAAGTTGCCTTGTTGGTTAATAAACCACTACCTATAAGTAAAGGGTGTTGGAAGTAAGAATTATCTTACTTCATACTTCTATTTGTGTGCAAACCTTGCTGATGCTAAGTATTTGTAGCTTTTAGACTTCTTTTCTTCAATATGTTATGGACCCACTCACATTTGCTTAAGTATTTTGAGGTTCTTGAAGTGGTTGTTGATGTGTGGAGTAGATCAAGTTGTTCTTGCTGATGTTAGAGTTTAGAAGTACCTAATTTTTAGATTCAGATCTAGATTTAGATCTTGGTTTGCTCTTACTTGTGGTTAAGAGCATTTAGGTGTTGGTGTTTGGTTTTTCACCTTAAGGCAAAGTTAAAGAACACTTGTATTGTGCTATTGCTGAGATAGAACCTTGGTGGTCTAACTTTGTAATTTTAAATCCTAAAGATGCTGATTTTGTTTAAAAGACCTCTTATGGTGTATAGAGATGATTTGTGAGCATAAGAATGATATTTGAGTGGCAAGTCAAATTTGAGACATTAAGATAGGTCATTGGACTTATGAAAAGCTTTAGAGGTGAAGTCGAGAGTGTTTTTGAGAAGAAGAACACTAGTTTGTTCACAAAGAAGGATTCTATGATTCTAAGGCAATAATACTTTCTTACTGATTTTGAGAGCATGACGACTTTTTGTTTCAAATTTTTTTGATACAACTCTTCTTTAGACATGGCTTCAAGTGAGGGTGAAGGATTGAGAGTTATTGAGAATTTTAGAGATGAGAATTTCTACCATTGGAAGGTAAAAATAGAGCTTTTGTTGGCGTCTTTGGATCTTTGGAATATTGTAGATGAAAGTGAAGAGGTTCCAAGCATAGATGCTGATATGAAGGAGAAGAAGTTCAAATGTTGTGAAAAGAACGCTTTTGGATTGATTGTAACTAATGTCGATGAAGCCAACTTCTCCCACATTATCTCATAGAAAGGACCAGCGGAAGCATAGAAGACTCTTTGCAACATCTATGAGAGCAAAAACTTATCCAACATCATGTATATAAGGAGGAAGTTCTTCACTTATAAGACGGAAGAAGGTAAAGACCTCATAGCTTATGTCAATAAAGTAAAGGCTCTTGCAAACCAACTAGTAATTGTTGACAAGCCTTTAGAAGAAAGTGATATTGTCATGACCTTGCTGATGAGTCTTTCTAAATCCTACAACTACGTTATTGTGGCATTGGAGTCCATTAAGCTAAAAGAACTTACAATGGACTATGTGATGGCAAGACTTGCCCATGAAGTAACCAAGTAGAAAGAAAAGGAATCGAAAAGTAAAGATTTAATACTTTACTTACATCAAGGCAAGGTCAGCTATCCAAATCAACAAGGTAATGTCAAATCTTGCTTCATTTGTGGCAAAGTAGGCCATTTTGCTCGAAATTTGTACAAAGACAAAAATATGAAGAAGAAAAATATAAATAGTGTGCAAGATGAGTTTTGAAGACAAGATTATGCATTCAAGGCAACAAATGAGACCTCTATGGCTGCCATGTCAAGATGGATTGTGGATTCTTATTATTCCAAGTACAAGACATCTTATAAGTATTTATTTGACACTTATGAGGCTATTCTGGTATTAAACGTGGTGTTAGTGGATAGTGGCACATGTCAAGCCATTGAAATTGGCTCTATTATGGTGGAGGTGGTTCTAAATAGACAAACCAATAGGATCGGATTCAAAAGCATCGTTCATGTGCCTAAGATAAAAGAAAACCTACTTTCGGTGAGTAAACTTGTAATGGAAGATTTTAAAGTTCAATTTAACATGAATGGATGTTTTGTAAGAACATTGAGTGGAAACAAGGTCTTCAAAGTCTTTAGAGAGGGAAATTTGTACTACCTCATTTGTAAAAAGGTGAATAGAGTGGATGTAGCCATATTTGCTCAGTTTACATCAAATCAAGACAAGTTGAATATATGACATTGTTTCTTTGGCTATTTGAATGTAAAGAGCATGAGAGAGCTCAAGTCTATGATAAGTGGCTAAGATCTCGGCAATATAAGCGAAAATACAAAACAACTTGCATGTGAAAGATGCATACAAGGCAAACAACAAAGAGACTCATTTCCAAGTAGCGTAGCAATATGTGCTACGAAGTTGTTGGAGATTGTCTATTCTCATGTATGCGGACATATGAAGAACATAAATATAGGAAGATCAAGGTATTTTCTTACTTTTATTGATGATTATTCAAGAAAGTTTTGGATCTACATTATTAAAGCCAAGAGCGAATGCTTTTGGAGGTTTAAGGAGTTTAAAGCACTTGTTGAGAAATAAAGTAAATGCAAGCTCAAGGTGCTATGTACCAACAATGGAAGTGAGTACATATCTAAACAATTTGATGTTTACTTGAAAAATGAAGGAATTGCTAGATAAACGACAACTCCACACACTGTCATGGACATATGCATGTAAGCCAATAATTACATGTATAAATAGGTAGAAGTAAATAAAAGTAGGTAAAAATAAGTTAATTCTACAATATTTGATATAGAAGTTTTTTAAAAGCTTCATAGATGCTGCTTTGACTTTATAGGTATCTTTAATTGACTTTTTGGGATTAGAAACGTGGTCAATAAGTTGGCCATGTGCGACATATGTTGTTAGCTTGAAGACCAAGCTAACTATGTGGCCTACACGTTGTCATGTTGTAATACGAGTATACCGTGAAAATATAAAGAAAGGGGACTTTTATTAATGTTCAATTACCTTAAATATTGAGAGCAACGATCGATTCCAGTGCCAATATTCAGGGGCCAGTTCAGACACCCCGTCACAGTCGGTCAGGGCATACTTACCAGTAACGAAATGCTCCGTTCGAGTCCAATAGTGGGAGTCAACAGAATCGAAAGGACTAAATCAATGACTGAGCAAGCTTGACGTGAAGGACCAATTTGACCTAATTACATGAACATCCAGGTCTTACTATGGGCCTCTTAGGCAATATGAGACCTGATTTGGTCGGGCGACTCAATGTGGTCCCGATTACGGGGGTTTTGATTCCGTTTCAGGCTATCCTGTTCTCTGTGCCATTTCAGAGAACGTTTTTTCCAAAAAAAGAACCTTTTATAAGGCAAAAAATGGAGGAGAAAGCTCTCACGACAGAGCTAATTCCGGATCCAAGACGGAAGATTGAAGAAATTCAGAAGCTAGAGTTTGAAAGAGGGGAGAATTAGGGTTAAAGGGGGGAATATGTTAAAAAATGAAGGGGGGAGAATTAGGATTTTAAGGGTCGAAGAGCTAGCTTCATGCTTCGGAGAAAAAAGACAGAGTATTGGAGGATTTTATTTTCTTCATAGGATTTTGGGAAGACTGAGGCAATCGTTGCTGAAAGTCAGTGTTGTACTGGTGAATTGGGGGTTTTAATGAAGTGGGTGTGATTACTCTTGACTGTTTTGTGAAATCAAAGTTACGTCTATGATTAAAGAATTAAAAGGATGTCTATAGGATTGAGTATGCGGAGTGAATGAAATTTTTTGGATTAATCTAACAAGATAGTCAGTGGATATAAGGTCGTGAGTATAAAGCGGTATGAAAGATTAATAGATTGGGTTGTTCGGGGTTCTCTGTAAAGTCTAGAGACCTACCGACTAGGACAAAAAGGATTTCGACGAGCAGTCGAAGGACATTCGTATAGATTTACGATATATTCTTGCAATCGTTTATATTTCAACAGTCAAAAACTGATAGACTGCTTGAATATTAGCGAATCTCTATACTACCTCCTACAGCCAGATGTCCGGTGCGTTCTCGAGCAGGAAAGCACGTAATACGACATTAGTGGTGAACCCAACGTGAAAGCTTGAGGTGGAAGATATTGGATTTCGTTTGATTTCATTTTTATTTTTATGGAGAACAAAAATAAAAAATTTGAAGGATCTTTGGAAGGAGTTTCTAGAGGGGGTTCTTCTAAAGGACAAGGTATGCACATGGATCCGTCTATTGCTAGTATGTTTCAAGCCTTCTCATTATTAATGCAGCAACAACAAAGCAATGATCAAAAGGAAGCTTTGGCAACCAAAGCATTGCAAGCAGTGGTCAATAAAATTGATCAATTTCATGGAAGGAATATTTCAAGGTATTTAAGATGTTATGTTCGTGAAATGGAATTAAATCAGGTTTTTGAGAAGAAAATGGTTGAATTATTTGGACTTGCCATGATACCGGAGATAAGAGACCATATTACATTGATTATGGATCGTTATGGGAATTCATGGGAGATTTTTTCACATG